TAAAAACACTGCTGTCAGTTTGGGACTGGAAAGGCAGGTGAAAGCAATGCTTTAAGTATACCTGCAGCACTGGGTACAAGTTTGCCAGGTCTCGGAGGGCAGAAACGCTGGTCCATGCTTCATAACAGCTGAATTTAAGGGGCTGAGCTGGACACTCTTGTTACTGTGGACACTGGCCCGTGCTTCTCTGTTGCTGAACTTGCAAAGGGAAGGCACCGGAGAGTCTGTCTTTCTTGATTTGCTCGGGTGCGTCTCTGTGGATGCGTCTGGTTTGGTTTTAAAGGAATCAGGCTGGGTTTTTAGAACGAGAGCAACAGAAGCTCTCGTCTCGCCCTTTTCTCTGAACAGGACAGTTATTGCCATCTTTAACATCATCCTGCAGGACTGTCTCCTTATGAGCAACTCTCTGCACCAAACAGGGAAGGAAATAGGGGATGTCATTTAAAATAAAAGCCTTGCCTAGCAATTCATGTTTCCAAAGCTTCAGCTGGGTTTTTTCTTTCTTTCTTTTTCCATGGCTTTAATAAAAGTTTTTGGATTGTGCTTGACCTGGGGCTGGGCAGGCCGAGGTCTCTTGCAGTCAAAAGCCAAATGTCACTGTTGTAGCATGACGTGGGCACGTTAATACCTTTGGGGTTACGAGCCGCCTGTGCCATCAGAAAAAACATAACAGGACGGCTCCCAGAAGGCAGAGCACTTCTCAGTATTGGTGGTAATTACAGGTGCTGGTCTCTCAGGCGTGAGCCCTAATCTATTAACCAGTTAAACAAACGCCCTTCCCTTAAAATGTGTTCCCACATTTGCGGTGGATCCAGTTGTAGTTGCATTTTGTCCCCTTTTAGGAAAAACAAATGCGATGACCAGCCATCATGTGAGACGTGCATGTGCTTAGCCGGGACCCCGGTTTCCTCTCTAGCAGGCGTGACGCGTGCAGCTGTCCGTGAATCGATGCTTTGTAGCTGGGAGGCAAGCATACATTAATTGGTATTTGAATGAAAAGGTTGCTTCCCTTTTTTCATACGTGATTCTTTCCGTTTGACTTTACAGGATTACTTTCTGTAAACCACACGTCGCGCTACAGTAATTTATCTGCAAACGTAGCGTGGCCAAGTCAGCCCTACTGGTCTGCATTTCAGTGCTCGTGCAGATCCTAATTCGGGGAGGAACCTCACAGCACTGCTCTGCATCTTGCCATATTTTTTAGGGCTCCCTTGTTGTCTTGGTTCCTGCGCCCTGTAACGAAAATCTGGAAGGAAAGCGGTTTAAGCTGGAAGGACAAAGCTGTCCCAGAGGAGATGGGGAGCAGGAGGAAATCCCTTAGTTTGGGTCAGGATTAAAGATTCATGGCTCACGAATGAAGGAGGAATATGGAAGATGCGGCATTTTGCAAGGCCATAACCATAGCCAGCAGGGTAATGCTTTTCTCGGGTAATTATCTGCCAGGCGGTTCGAAGGGACAAGCATTTATCGGCGCGTTTTGCAAGACGTAACATTTATCCTTTGCATTGACTTTGTCACCAGCTGTAGCTTGCACCCCGGTTTGGAGGGTCCTTGGAAATCTCTTGCACCTGGATACCTCTCCATAAGCCGGGTGCTCGCATGCTGCCTTAGACTGCTGCCACCGCTCGACCGCAGCTTGCCCAGGCAGTGCGGGACCGTGGCGCGTTCAGCCTCAGTAGTGCCATGCTAAATGTTGCCCTGGTCAGCATCGCCCCAAAGGACTGGCTGGTGAGCACAAAGCCTGTAAGCCAAGATGATGCCACATTGCCTTGGCCATCTGCTTGGCCGCGTGCACGCTCCATCGGCACTCTGAAAACCGTGGCCGTGCCACGGAGTCGAATGGAAAGACGAGAAAGCAAGCGACTGGGAGGAGGCTTCGGGTGTCCCGTGACGCAGTCTGAAGGACGAGGGCTTCTTGCTGGTGCTCTGCCCGTGCATCTCTTTGTCGTGCCTCTGGGTGCAGGGCTGGATTTAGGACCCCATGAAGATCTCCAGCCACTGCTTAGGGCTTAGCCTGGGCGGGTGCCAGCTGCCTGTGTCTGGGATGCTTGGCATTTCAGGAATGCTCCCTCCACCCGGTCAGGAGCTAAATTACACTCATGGCCTTTGTGCCTTTGAAATACTGGATGCTGACGGGAACCTGTCCGGTCAGGTCCACTCCACATCCCTCCAGTGCCCCCAGGCTTCCTGCAAGCCTGCCTGCTCTGACCGGGGTGGCTTTCAAGTCTGCTTTTCATTTTCATTGATTTTAGATGGATTGTGAGAGAGCCAAAGTCTCCATCCTGGGAGATGCGTGAATATGCTGGATCTGCATTTGTGAACCTAAGGTCATTTCCTGTTGAATCCGTGAATGCTAATGCATGCATAGTTTTCCTTTATTTCTGAGTCTATTTTGTGCCTGGCAGCACTTTTTCCCATGTTAGTGGCTGCCGTCATTTATTTATCCAACATCACACATACTGCACTCCATCCAGCCCCTTACAATCTATGAATCCAGCCCGGTCTAGCAAAGGATGTTAAGCCCAATGGGGAAAATTTCCAGAAGTGTCTTGGGAGCCCAAGTCCTCTGTCTGCTTGGGAGCGGGGCCACAAGCCAGCACCATCCTGGTCGCTTCTCCCCACCGGGACGGCCTGGGGAGCCCTGGAAGGGGAATCTCCAGGTGTTTCCCTCCAATCTTCAATCCTTGCTCTTGGATTTTCGTGCAGGGAAGGGGTGGGGATTGGTTTGGCTCTTATGGCGCATCTGCAGCATTGCAGGGGGGGGCACAGTGAAGCCAGTCGTGTCTGCTGTGGATGCCCTACCTCCTGGCCTGAATGTGCACTCTTTGGGGATAGCGTATCAGTGCACATCTGCACTAAGACAGGTGTTTTGCATCTCTCCGGGGTGGCAGGGCCTTCCCTTGCATGGTCCTGGGGTGGTGAGATGTCATTCTTTCCCTTCATGTTACTAATCGGGTAAACTCTCTTAGACTCTCCATGCTCGGTAACTCATCTTACTGACCCTTATTACTGGACCCCTTGGCCTATCGCATCCCTTCGGGTCGTCCTTGCATGGCACGCTGTAGTCCGGAGAGGGTCTGATTTTGCAACCGTTGCCCAGAGAAAACCAGAAAAAAATGCGTATTCCCCAGAACAGCTCCGTGCTTCCTAGATCTGTGGGAGTTGAGCTCCAAGAGTTCGGAAGACTTTATTTTTTCCCCCCCCCCAGCAATAATGCATCTTTGTTTCTCAAAACCGAATTTGTAGAATAACCAGAAATTTCTGAGGGCATCCAGCAAGCGAAGCGTATCTAATACTCACCGTTAACGGGGCTTGGAGCTGATGAGAAATTTGTTCTTGCCCAGTTGGTCTAATGGGCAGGTGTGCAAATGCCTTGGGGTTGAACACATTTTTGCACATGCGTGAGATTAAGCATGGTTGTTTGTTTGGAGGGGCAGGATTTGTGTGTCTAATTTGCCCGAGATAAGCTTGTAGTAGTGCAGTCTTTCCACAAGATGGTGCTCGGGGAATATTGATTCTTGTGTCGCTGCAGGCCAAGCATTTATTTAGGAACGGTGTACCGACCTCCTTTCAAATCATGATCTCTGCGGCCCAGTCCATAATTGCTGTGCTAGAGTAATTCAAAATTCACAATAATCTTACAGGTCTTAGGGCAGAAACTGCATTGTCGGCTTGGATGGGAAAGCTGTAGCGTGCTGTGTTCAACCTCAGTTTTAAGCAGCGAATAATCACCAGCTCCACTGCGTAGTTGGGAGTTGAGGCCTAGAGGGAACCTTTTCGATCACAGAGTTTGACATCTCTTAATACCATAGGTCCTTGAATGATATCTTAATACCACAAGTCCCATAGGATCCCTATATTGAATCCAATATCTGGTGTTTGGTCAGAGTGATGTCCAGAATGCTTTCAAAACGGCATCCGGGCTGGAAATGCAGAGCCTCCAAGAGATGGAGAGTCCACCACTTGGCTTTTGGCTGTATTAAAACATTGTTCTTTTGAATGGGCTTGTTTTACTGATAGCAAGGTATGACAGCACTCCTCCCACTGCTCGCTATTCTCTCGATCTTTGCAGTGATATCTTTACTTCTGGATCGTCTGTTAAAACGCTGAATGGAGTTGGGCCTCGTACCAACCCATGCCGAACCCCCCAGAGACGCCGTCTTTCAAGGGTGGTTCCCGATGGTGATTTTTTTTTTTAGATAAGCCAGTTCATAATCTATTCAGTTTGTAATCTATTGAACTGCATAGTTAATCATTTTAAAATCAAAATGCTGTGCAGTACTAAGTCTAGTAGTCCTTTATAAAAGTCCAAAGCATAGCACATCTACCAACCCAACGTGCGAGCTCAACAAAAAAAGTGAAATCAGGTTTATTTGGCAACACCTATTTTCTATAAAGCATGTTGCATTCCTTATATTCATAATGCTGTATTTATGACACTCCTGGCCCTTAATCCTTTATTAATAAAAAGTCTGCATCAGCGTATCCATTCTTTTGCAAAGGATGGATATGATGCTAATGAGTCTTCAGTCCTCCAGGTCTCCCTGTTTATTTTTCTTGAATATGGGCCCACGGTTAGCAGTCTTCCAGTCTTTTCCTGCATCTGCCAAGATTTCTTGCAGATGAATGTCAGCAGGCCAGATTTCCTCAGTCATGTTTTTTATGTTGGTGCCGTTTTATCTGTGACTGTTTGTTTAAAAAGTTTTCAGTAGCAGATGTTATTCATAAATGTTGCTTAACATCCTTCTTGGTTACTAATGGCCTGGAAAGTACGCCTTCATCCTTATGTGATGCGGGTATGTGGTCCAGTTCCTTTGCAAAGACAGAATGGAAATATTTACTGAATGTGGCCGCCCTTTCTGTGTTGTCATGAACAGCTTGAGCATCTCCAGCTGCTGAATGGGCCTCTGTCGTTGCTAGGATGCCTCTGGAGCCTGTTGCACGCAAGTGATCTCCTTATGGATCAGGTGCCCCATCTTCTCTTGTGTTCGCTTTGGCAGGTACAGTCACCCAGTCGTGCGCAATGGAGCGAAAGCCCAGGCTGGCAACCACGAGATGAAAATGAAGGGCCCGGAGCCGGTGATTAGCCAGATTATCGACAAGCTGAAGCACATCAACCAGGTGGGTGCGGGGTTGAAGGTTGTCCTGTCCGTCCTACTTCTCCCATTCCTGTGCTCCTTTGGGTGAATGCAATCCAAGTGGGTGTGATGGGCCACTGGCCCTGCTATTTACTCACAGGAGCGATCGCAGCAAGGTCAGTGGCGAGGATGGGATCTGTGCCCAGCTCCACCCACCCCGGTCCCTTGATGCTCTCCAGAGCTGGAAGCTGCCCTGGGAGGCTGCTCCAGACACATCCCCAGTGCCTATGCAGACCTGCTAGGGCTCCAGGGCAGGAGCTGGGGATGTGGGGAGCCACCTCCCAGGCAAGTAGCCCAGCTAGGTCAGAGCTGCGGGAAGCTCTCAGGTGGCTGGGGCTGGTTCCCTGGGTGGAAAATGCAGAGCTGAGAAAACCCCAGAGGATCCACTGTGGCTGCACCACTACTCCCAGTTCCCTCGAGCAAGCACCACTGTTAAGGACCAGTGACAGGCCGGTCCTGCACGGTGTAACGAGGCTCAGGAACGCGCCCGTTACCCTCCAGAGACTGAAGCCAGCCCGTGGGATCTGCTTCTGCAGGAAGCTGTGATGCCAAGCACCGCAGCTGGGTCCTGAATAGGACTGGTGGGTGAATAGAAAACCAAGGACAACCCCAACTAAGTTATATAAGTGGGGCAGGGGACTTCTTGCACACCCCCAGTTCTGTATTTGTGGTTTTGTGTGTTCTCCTGCCCTGCAGAAGATGAAGCAGAGTGGAGTAGGTTGCCCTTGCTGCATTTAGGGGGAAGCTGCCCAAGGATAGTTGCCCATTCCCGTGGAACAGGAGCGGACCCACGGAGCGGCTCGTGTGCGTGGAGTCCCGCTCCAGACCTTCTGCCCTCTTTATGGAAGTCTGCCTGAGCCCCAGGATAAAGGCGAATGCAATAATAACCAAATCCTGAGCTTTGTGTCATACGCTGATGGTTGCAGGACCCCGGCAGGAATGGCTGTTCCTTACCCAATTTTTGGGGAGGTTTTACCTTCATTCGAAGTGGGGGCTGCTGGCTTTTTTGGGTACCACCTGGCAGGTGTGAGGGACTGTGCTCTCAGCTGGTGTTTTTATCCTAGATAGTCTTAGCATGGAAATAAATCAAAATTCCTCCAGCAGAGCCCTGGGACCACATTCGATCCTGGCAATGCTCCCCCTTGCAGTCTGCAGGCACCAGTTTCTCAGGCCAAGGCCCTGGGTCGGCTTCCTTTAGCTTAGGGGTTGATCATTTTACCCAGAGGTTGTGAACTCACCATCCTTGGAGGTGTTTAAGACCCAGGTAGACACAGCCTTGTCTGGGATGACGCAGTTGGGGCTGGCCCTGCTTGGAGCAGGGGGTTGGACTGGATGTAACCTCCTGAGGTCCCTTCCACCCTCATTTTCCATGATTATATGATCATTCCCCATTATGTTTCTCCATGTAGTCTAGTGTTGGCCTCTCCCCTTATCCCAGGCCTGCAGGACTCTGCTCTCATCCCTGCTTTGCTATGTTGGACCTAGATGCAGCTGCTTGTCAGATGTGACTTGTTGGCCAGGTTGGGGGGCACAGGCCTTCATGGTTGCTGGGGACGTGTGGCTTTGGGAAAGTCAAGCAACAACATGCCCTTGGAGACGGCAGCTGCAGGGCAAGGTCTGCGGCGGGGAGAGCTGGCTTGGCCTCTTGCCTGCAGGAAGGAGGGGTTTTACACCCTTCAGGTAATAAAAGACCTCTGCAGGTTAAAACAAACACGGCTTATCAGGCTGCCAGGCAAGTAGGCATGCTCTTTCCTGATGCTAACCTCAGCTTTCTCGCTCCAGTGCATGCCACGGCACTGTTTTCATAGCATTTCCCAGTTTAATCCTGCTGACCTCAGACACAGGCATGCCTCATTACCCCTCGGCTGGGTGGAGCAGCCGGCCGCTTTGCACTCGTACGAAGATGATGCACAGCAGCCGCGCTTAGCTTCGCGGGAGCAGGCCCTCGGCGTCGCTCCACGACCGTGCCCGCTCTCATCGTAAAGCGATGCAAACGGCCAGCAGCGCGCAATGATTAAAAGGGAAATAAAGTATAATCAGCTCCCTGTAGAACTGGGAAGAGGGCAGGTTTCAACCTGCAGGAGATGATAATGTTTTGCGGTGCACAGCGAGGGGGAGAGGCGCGCTGAACCGAACGTGGTTATTAGCATACTTGAAACTGCTGACACCAAGCGGTTGTGAAACGCCGGCTGCCGGGCTGGGTCGAGTTATCGGTCTGCTCGTGGAGTTGGAGGCGGTGGGTAAACACGGCACGGCTGCATTCAGCTGTACAAAGCTGTGGACTTTGCCCGTCACCCCTGGTCTAGCAAAAAGTCAGGGGTGGAATATGGCCATCGCCGCCGATCCTCACGCACTGCTTCTGTTTGCTTTCAGAGCTGGAAAATACGAAGGGATTTTCTTGTTGCGTAGGAAAATCTGAGAGCACAGAGATGCCAAATGCTCCCATGAAGGTTGTTTTGTGGAGGGAAAGGTCAGGTCTGGCCACGAAATAAAAATGGTGAATGTCACGTTTGGGAAGCAAAAGGCAATCCTCAAGAAGCGACTCGTTAGGAACCCAGCTCTTAGGTCTGGGACGGACGTTGCATAAACCAGTTTGAGCCAAATCAGTTCAGTTGGATACTACATTCAACCAGGTAGATCTCAAACTGGTTTCAGCCATTTCAAACTGGTTTATGCGCACTGAACATCTGTTCTGTTACAGGTTTAAACCGGTTTCTGATCACTTAAACCGGTTTATGTGTAATGTCTGTCCCTAGTCTGAATGTCAGAGTCCTTAGATTAAGGTGAAAGGTTCAGATCCAGCTAAAAAGGAAATATGGGTGTTACTGAAACTTGGGTTTTTGGGGGTTGAATCTCACCATAGTCCCTAGGCACAGAAATAGGGCTGGCAGGGACCCCCCGGGGTCTCCTAGTGCAGCCCCCTGCCTGGGGTAGGCCCATCCTTGGTCCCACTGAGGTCTTCCTGTCTCTCCCCCGTATCTGGAGAGCACCATGAATTAATTCCACAATGGAGGAGGTGTGAGAAGGATTTGATGTCTAGTTATATTCCTCTTCAGATCTAGAAAGCAGCGTGGACTCCCAGGTTGAAGGAGAGATGAGGAAAACCCGCTCATTTGCTCTGCTCCGGTGGAGAGCATTGTTTTTAAGGAGGTGCCTGCAGATTTTCAGGGTGCACTGGAGCTGCTGTCCAGCTAGATGCAAAGACTTGGTGTGTCTGCTACAAACCCTCTCAATTAACTCCACAGGAAAAGTGGAGTGGATGTACAGCACATAGCATATGCCTCGCAGGGAACGAGTGTCTAGTTACTTCAGAGGAAGTGAGAAGTAAATATGCACCGGAGAAAGGTATGCTGGTGTCTGCTGCCCTTACCCATGTCGCTGGGCTTGGTGCTTGCTCCGTGCAAATGGGCTGTCACTAACCAGGTGCTGCAACAGCAACACCTACTTTGGGCAGCCAACTTGGGAGAAGTTACTGCAGAGTAATTTCAACGGCAGAGTGAAATCGGGGTCGTAGAAACCGTCCTGTGTCTGCACCTTATCTGCTCAGATTTCCGATCTGCATTTCCCGCGGTATCCAGTAGATGGGCACAGCACATTGCAAATGCTTCTAGTCTGTTGTTGTGTTTGGAGGAGGTCCAGTCCTGATGCCAGACCTGTAGGTACCCAGGACAGGTCTACACTGCGCCGGGAGAAGCAGTGCATGAGCCTGTGTAGCGTGCTGTGCCAACACAGCTATGTTGCTGCCGTTGCCCAAACTAGCTTGGATAGCTGCAGCCCGGCTTCCCATGTACCCGTACCCATACTTACTGTTTTAGTTGGGCTCCAGGCTGTTTTCTTATTCCTGGATATTAAGAGGTGTACTTTTTACAAAGTTTTAGCCTGCATTTATGCACTGCTGTGCATGCTCCTCGAGAAGAAGTCTTCTCAAAGGGTGACAAGACTTCAAAAGTCTTTGGAGAGTGCTTAAATTTGGCGAATAAATTGTGTGGTCCGGTCACTCATGACCTTCTCAGTGTGGATGCAAATAAATGCATTTGTATCCTGCAACAGGCACGTGCAATATTCTCCTCTGTGTGTGCATTTTGCTTTTATTGAGAAGCAATTTCTAAACAAATTGTTCTCGCCTTTGTTCTTACACTCGAATGGCATGTCCAGAGGCTGGAAGGAATCGATCGAGTGGATATTATGCAAAAGCGAAATAAAGAGGTCTGCCTGAGTTTTATTAGCCCAGTTTAACAACCTTTTAAAACATAAGAAGTATAACATTTTGAGAGAGCTTGACGTCTCAGTCGGATCTTTTTTGGAACGAGTCACGCTCCAAGATTCCTGCTAATCGGCTGGAAGCGCCGGACCATCTTTGTTTCCATTTCTCCGTCTGATTTGTGGGTGGTTCTATTTTCTGTCGCTCTGTGGGCGAGCTGATTTATTATCGTCAGGCTGGAACTGGGAATTTTTGGATCCCGTTGCATTTCTATCAGTTGTGATTTGGAGTTATTTTTGCTCCACGCCCAGCGGCACTTATAGCTCGTCCATAAATATTAGTATTGCTATCTCAGCTGGGAGGCCAGGGGTCACTTTTGGGGAAATAAGTCTGAACCGATCTGCAATTTGGTTTTTCGGAGCAGGTGAGGTCACTCTCTAACTAGATGGGTTTTTGTTCGTCCGTATTGGAAGCAGGCGGACTGATGGTTGAAACCGCAGAGTGTATTCAGCGGCAGTGCAGGTTGCTTGTCCTGACAGCTTTGCTTGTCACAGAATAATAAGCTTGAAGCTTCTGCTTAGATTTGTCCTCCGTGCAGCTTGGCTTCCTTCCCGCAGGGAGATTCGGTACGGCTGGCAGCAGGACGGCACCCGCTGCGTGTTTCTCAGGTGGCAAGTCGCTGCTTCTTGCTTTGCCCAGGTCTCTTGTGTCAAACCCTATAACTATCCTGCGTGCTGTGAGGTGCGTGCACCTCTGGGAGCGTAGGAGAAGGGCGAGGGATG